GCAGAAATCAAGCACCAATCGTGTCGATATTGCTACCGTACCTGGTTCTGGGGCCATTTTGAGGCGAGTGGCCCCAAGGCACGACCATGATGCCGCTGATGCTCGCGTACGGCGCGCGCGCGCGCGCGGGGAAGCGCGCGCGCGCGCGCGCGGGGGGTTGAAGAGCAGGGGGGAGCACAACAAGGCTGGCCAAACTGTTGGCAGCATCTTCGGGTCGAGAATCGGAGCGGCGACGGCCATGCCGGCCCGTGCCGCCAGGCCCTACAATAACCCCACTTATCAGTACCCATGAACCTCCAAGTAGTCTTTGCTAACCAATTGCCACAAGTCCGAGCCTGCAGCGCTCTTTGCCGCGCCAGTTGGTCGATGGGGACGCTACCGCTTCCAGGTCGCACTGGCCTGCACTTATGTTTGCACATGGTGATTGAAGAGACTGGGCTCCTATCAAAAAAGTCCAGAACGGTCCGTGAACCTGAGAGTTCTCGATTCGATGCTGACAGAAACTACCCTAGCGTACATACTGGTGGACACTGCATGACACCGCGCATGGTACACGCGGCAAAGCAATGTACATAACTTCGTCGGATCGTAGGGGCTGCTGCAGTCCGAAGCGAAGCTGCAGCGCATTCTGTGAGACTAGACCCTTTTTGAACGAGGTCTCTCTGAAGTGCCTCTAGCAGTAGACTAGACCCTAAACCCTAAACCCTAAACCCTAAACCCCTAAACCCTAAACCCTCTGCAGACTCTGTTGAGCCTCTGTTCTGGTGCCTGCGCCTGTTTTGCCGGAGTCGCTCGCCCAGCCTGACGGCACAGGTTGCAGGCGAGATCGAGGAGCGCGATGACTAAATGGGAGTTTCCGAAATTAGGGGTACCTTATTTTGGCGTCCTTATAATAAGGATCCTACTACTTAGGGTACTATATTAGGGTCCCCCCTAATATAGTACCCCAAATAGTAAAATCCCTATTATAAGGACCGCCAAAATAAGGCACCCCCTATTTTCGGAAACCCCCCATATTTTGCTAAGCGGCCTCCGCGGAGCGACCACGGGCTTTGCGCTGGCTCAGGGCCTGGAAGGCTTGGGGCACTTGGACTCCCTGCGTGGAGCACTTGATTCCCAGGGACTCCAATTTTCTTTAATTAAGGAATATGCCTTAAATTATAGTAGGATCCTGAATACGATTTAAGGTATATTCCTTAATTAAGGGATATTGGAGTCTCTGGGTTTGGACCTGCCTGCCACACCGCATCCTGGGCTCAGATCACGTGAGGCTGTGAAGCACATCGAGACTTACAAATCAAGCAAGTTTGGAATCCCCAGGCGATTGCGGCCACGGTCTCCAAGTCCTGTCGCTGTAGCTCCGTGTAGGAGGGAACCTTGAGCATCTCCTGGTGGAGCAATTGCAGAACAGCTTTCTCAACCCCCGCAGTCTTACAGCCAGAGCCCGAAGCCCAAAGAGAGAAGAAACTCTAAACCCCTAAACCCTCAACCCATAAACCCCTATTTTTGAACCCAGGCTCTGCTCCGACTCATAAACCCCTAAACCCTAAACCCCAAGGGAGGCACCCGTGTCCTGTGCCAGCAAGAGCCGCTCCTTGGAGGACTCGTACCTTCGCAGCTGCCTCGCCAGGAGGCGCTCGAAGCATGCAGAGAGGAGGGATTCTGTGATGTTCTGTGCGGGCGTCCTGCTTTTTTGAGGCACCACAAGGTCTAGGAAACATCTAACCTCATCTAATATCATCGAATATCTCTCGCATTCCAATCCCGGGCGTGCCTCTGGAAGCCGTCGTTAGGGCAAACCGCCGGACGCCGTTGAGAAAGGAACAGCAGCGTTTGCTCGAAAGGCATGTTCCTTGCCCATGCCACGCAGCAATGGGCAACACGATTCGCAGACGAAACCGCTTCTAAGAACCCCCACAAGTAGGGCCAGGGCCACACACAAGTGTGACAGCACTCACTAAATCCAGCGAGGTTGAAGTTTTGTCCACAGGACATATTGCATCAAAGGCGCAGGTGGGCCATGAGATATGCGCAAATCGATGTCGAGCTTCTGGATATTCCTGGGAGCAGTGCGGGCTGCTGGCGACGGTCGTGATCCGAGAACCGAAACCGGACATGGTTGTTAGCACAAGGCGCCTGCCGCGCAATGGACATAAACGGAGTGCCCATTGTGCCGGCATGATGAGATGAAGCGGACGATTCCTCAAGGATCCGGGGAGAAACCGGCATGTGAGAACGCAACACCTCAGTGAATGAAGAGCAAATGCCTGTTTTCAGCCAATGGTGCCAAGACACGTGGAAAGTGAACACCTGATCATGCATTTGTGAGTTTCCGAAAGTTAAGGTACCTATTTGGGGGACCTTACAATAAGGATCCTACTATTAGGGTACTATATTAGGGTCCCCTTTGTTCGGAAGCCCCCCCGTTTGTCTGCACGTTTGCCTGATATCGCCTCCCACCTGCGGCAACTAGAACCCGTCATCTGGCTAGTTGCACTCCATGAAATAATTACGGCGGGATATGGTCTGATTTTCTAGCACAGACTGTGCGTAGAGCTTGACATGAATGGTGCAAGACCGTTAATTCTAAGTTGCTGAAAGATGCTTGCACATACTGGCACTGATGGCATCATGTTACAGCCTTGAGGCCTTGCCGACCAGCACTACAAGCTACAGGAAGCTTTCCAGCGATCTCGCAAGCAATTCGGCAAGCCACTGAGATCAGCAATTGGCACATCCGGCAAGTTCACGTGTTCGCCTCAATATCTCATGTCTGCACTATGCACGACGGTGTTGCGCACTGTTGCCGTGGAGCAAACGCTTGCACAGAACTACTCCGGTGAATCTAGAGGGAAGCTTTTCTGCATAGTGCAGCTGCCTGCACCGTCAATGAATCGAATCTCCAGGATGCTCCAGGTATGCACTCCCAAAGACAAGAGTCTGCTGTGTCTTGTGCCGAGCTGCGCGCTGCCAGGCGGATTCGCTGCGAGGGAGTCGCAGGACCCAAGGACAGCACACCTCCCATCCCAGAGCGTCACTGGTTCAGAGACAACTGCGCGTCATGCAAATATGTGTCCCCGGAGCCATAGATAGAGACTCGGACAGGCATGGATGGGCATGGAATCTTCTGCCCAGCGTAGCAGCAAACAGTCGCCTCACCAGCCCATACATTAGTTCAGACGAGCAGCAAGTTATGTTGTTCCTCAGCGTGTTTCAGAGAAGAAGCTCAAGTTTCGACTTTGTGATTGATCTAAATCTACCCCTTATGGACAATCATGTTTGCGATACTCGCCCGACAGCCAAGGCTCTTTCGAAAAAACTCCAAGTCGTCCAAAACATCTTGACCTCTACAGGCACGTGTCTCTGCTGTCTTCAGTCCATCAGCTTCCTCAACAGCCTCAACACTTCACCAGCTGTGAGTTTTGTCGGGCAAGTCGATGGCATGCGCCTACCGGGCCTACTTGGAGGTTCATGGGTAGTTAGTTATAAGTAGGGTTATTAGGGTAACTGCAGCTATAACCTATGTTAGGGGACTGATAACCCCACTTAGAACTACCCATGAACCTCCAAGTACCGGCACTCAGACCCAAGCCTCCCAGCCACAGGTTCGGCAGAATCAAGGATGGCGCGCCACCCATGGCAACCGCTTGGCTTGCACTCTGAGCTGCAGTGGCTTCGGTGAGCCGGGATGTCGTGGCGAAACTTAAGAGGCCCCTTGTTGCTTGGAGGCTCATGGGTAGTTATATGTGGGGTTATACGTCGCCTAATATAGGTTATAACTACAGTTACCCTACTTATAACCCTACCAGCACTACCTATAACTACCCATGAACCTCCAAGTGCATCTTGTTAAACTCTGCCACCTTGACTTTGTGGGACCTCGCTGTCCTCGTGAACCCGTGCCGAGACTGAGGCTTTGGCTGGCATCTCGTAGGAGAATGACCCGCCATTCCGCGATGGTCCTTTTACGCGGCGAGACGGCTGCCCAACTCGTTGCAGCGTCTCTCAAGCTTCCTTACTTCTGTGCTGCTCGATGCCAGAACACGGTACCCATGCACACCTAAAACAGGAGAACTTGCCAAAGCTCTGGTCCAATTTGTCCTGTCGGTAAACCAACTTTTCCAGCAGCTCCTCCTCTGTCTGAGCCTCAGCCCGTGTCCCAGCTTGGCATCTCTGACTTCTCTCCAGCTCTCGCCTCCTCCACTTGGCTCTCCAGAACCGCAATCTCGCCGAGCGCCTGCACTCTCAACACAAAACATTAGCACATATTAGCACTTCTGCCATTTCAGATCTTGAGTCTTCATGGCCTCCATTTCCTGCTTCTCCGACGCTTCCAAAGCATCCATCGCTGCAGCCTGCGAGCTGCGAGGCAAGTCCCAGGTTCCTTGACCGGTTCCTGGGCATCTCCACTTGGAGGTTCATGGGGAGTTACAAGTAGGGTTACAAGTCCCCTAATATGGGTAGTTGTCAAAATTATGGTCCCTTTTGGGGTACCCTAAATAATAGGTGCCGTATTATAATAAGGACCCAAAAAGGGACCATAATTTTGACAACCCCCCATATGTGTTATAACTATAGTTCCCCTACTTATAACCCCACTTATAATTACCCATGAACCTTCAACCACACCCACACCTTCAAACCTGACAAGGCCTTCACAGCCATGCGGGCAGGCCTCTCGCTCACACTCGAGTTGAATTAGCCCATGCAGCTCCTCGGCACTCAAGCTTCACTCACACGGTCCCAGCATGCAAATTCCAAGCTTGTCGCCTTCGACTGTTGACCCACTCCTGCATGCCGTAAGCTTCATCTGTGGGTTTCCGAAAATAGGGGACCCTAATATAGTACCCTAAATAATAGGATCCTTATTATAAGGACCCCAAAATAAGGTACCCCTAATTTTCGGAAACTCCCATCTGTCTACTCTTCAAAACATGCCAATTCGACTCGCACAGGGCAGGCACCGAGCTCCATCCACAGCGACTCCGACTACTTTACGGCACCCAACCTCGCAGTCGAGTGGTCAGCAGGCCAAGATGGCTCTTTGCCTGCGGATCAATTAGCGCATAGGGCCAAAAGAGCCTACTTGGAGGTTCATGGGTACATATAAGTATGGTTATAAGTCCCGTAATATGGGTTATAAGTATATAGTTACCGTACTTATAACCCCATTTATAACTACCCATGAACCTCCAAGTAGAGCCTGGAAGAACGCGGAACCGACTGATGCGCAACATTCTGACAGTCTGTGACAGCATGCGCTTGAGCGGTGCAGCTTGGAATGCCCGTGTTTTTTCTGGACCTGGCCTTCAGCCTTTGCCTTGAGCCTGGCGTCCAGGTCTAGGTCCTCTCTTTAATGTAAACTATTGCCGGCCATGGCTGCATGCCTGCGGCACCATCTGTAAGAACACTGCGCGGCCACGAACACAAGACCGTGGAAAAAAACAGGCTTGGCTTTCTAAAACGATTGCGATGGCCTCTTTGCATCAGTGCTTGGGTCGTGTGTCGGGCCTTACCAGGTTCCCACAGCGACTCTACGTACTCTACAGTACTCTACAGTATCCTACAGCTGTGCACAGCTGTTGCTCCGCAACCTGGTCTACACACCTCTCAGGCCGCACGAGCGGTCCAGGACAGGGCGAGACACAGGCACAGGCCTCCAGGAATGCCAGGCTGCTCCGCAGCTTCACATGAAATCAATTTCAAAACTTGCACTCAAAAGCTGTTTGCTTCAATCTCTTCTTCTCTTACTTTACAAGGAATGAAGCAAAAGAATTGGGAAGGACTCCCCCACGCTCGCCCTGGACTGAATGGCAGGTGGATCGGCATCCTTCCAGACCAGAACCGCCGCCTTGAGCGAATCGCACTGAGAATTTCACCTGGGTAGTTGTCAAAATTAGGGTTCCTTTTGGGTAATTACCCTAAAAAATAGGTGCCGTATTATAATCAGGACCCAAAAAGGGACCATAATTTTGACAACCACCCACCTGCAGGTTTCGACTGCGCTCTCACTCAGTGCCCGCAAGCGTCTTGCAACATCCTCGTGCCCGCCAGCAAGAGCTGCCATTTCCTTGCATCTGAAGACATGCACTGGAGCGTGGGGGCAGATGAACCGCCTCCCCGACGCAACTAATAACTAGCAGCAAAGAGCAAACCACGACCAAATATGCTAGCATTGGCAGGCATCGGGAGTCTCACCGTCATCGTCTGCTAGGTTGGTGTCTGCACCAGAACTCAGCAGCAGGTCGACTGCTGCCAGATGCCCAAAACTTGCTGCCAGATTCAGCGCAGTCCATCCAGACCTCCAAAGACCCCCGAGATATGCCAAACAGTTCACACTTCATGCTGTTGTCTCAGTTTGCCCTCCAAGTAAACAGCTGGCCAAATCTCTGAGAGGCGTGCTGCCCGACGTCGTTTACCTCGGCGTTACACAAACAAGTTGGACCAGCATGGCATACAACATCAACAACCCTCCTAGGTCGTAGGTCCCACCAGTAGCTGAAAGTACCACTGACTTGTAATCGGGCGTGCCATGGTTCTGCAACTGCTTCGACTGTTCAGACCTGACGCCTGCCATCTGCAGCCTCACACGTGCAAGACTTGCAGGAACATCTGTTGCAGCTGAGCGGCGGCAGCGCGGTGGGCGAGCAAGCAGAAGAGGATGTCGTTGTATCCAGACTGCGCAGCGAGAAGGAGGGAGTTGTTCTGGTCTCCGTCTCGCACATTCCTGACGAGAAGTCCAGACCCGAGCTGCACTAGTTCAATCGGTCATGGCACGGGTGGGTCACTGCAGGAAAGTCGCGCGGCGGCTTGATGCTCCAGTAAGCTTCGGGCAATCGCAGTGTGCCCGAAAGTCGCGGCCAGCATAAGAGGTGTTCGTCCATTGAGAGCTTGCACGTTCACGTCCGCCCTTCGGGCCAGAAGGTCTTGCACAACATCAGCCGCCCCATATTGGCAGGCGACGGCAAGGGCAGTGAAACCATTGGCCGATGCAGCATCCACATCTGCGCGACAAGCTAGCAGCGCCAAAATCACCGGTCGATGATTCCTGCATGGGCTTTGGGAATTGACCGGCTGCCAAGCAGACAAGAGACTACCGGGAGCCTCTCTACATGTGTTCTCAGTGCGACCAAGGCCACCGGTGAGCAGCTACCCGTAATGCTTGGCCACCGATCGACTCATCTCCGTCGGGGCTTCTGGCATCAAGCTCTAGGCCAAGCTGAACAAGCAGCTCGACGGCATCAGCAGAACCGTCTTCGGATGCCCGCAAGAGCGCATCCGCCAGTGCACGCTGGTCCTCATTGCTAGAGCCGCACATCATAACTATAGTAGCACGCCTTCTCTATAGTGTTTTAAAGGCCGCAAGGATCTGCAAGGGCTGCGCCAACTCAGATACTCTGAGCCTTAGAGGCCGAGTGTCCCCACCGTGCGCAGAGAGCAGTTCATGCAGTACTGCCGAATGGCATTTCTGCGCAGCTGCTATGAAGGCAGAGGTAGAGTCATCGGCCTGACATCTCTGGCAAATTATAATAATAAGGAACCCCCTAAACCCTGTATAGGTAATTACTTAGGCCCCTACATTACTACTATCTGGCAACGACGCCCTGCAGTCGGGCCGTGGCTCCAAAAAAATCGCTCCCTCTCAGATCACAAAGCTCCTCATTGATCATGGTGCATGGGTAGTTATAAATGGGGTTATAAGTATAGGGTAACTATAAATTATAAGCCATAGTAGGGGGCTTATAACCATACCTATAACTACCCATGAACCTCCAAGTAGATCATCACTGAACTAGGAGCTGCTGCTTGTTGTGCGATGTTACTTCCGGTGTCGAGGCCTGCGCAGCGCTCGCACTTAAAGCTACGGAAAGCAGCCTTCGATTGACAACGCACGTACATGAAGAGCAAGCTTTGCTTGCCCTCCGTTGCTTCCGGTGCATCCCTGCAACAAAACTTGAACCACCTATGCTATGCACACTATGGGCCTGTTGACACGTTAGTAGGAGGATGTTGTGGCCACCAGTGCAAGAGAGCTGAGTAAACATCGAAAACATCTGCTGTAAAATGCCGTAATGGCCTGAACTGAAGGTACATGGCAGGGACCTTGGCAGCCCTCTCTCAGCACCGGCCTGAATGCTCAGAGTAGTGAATCCCAGCTGAACCCCGAAAGATCTCAAATCAGCCACAGCGGACCAAGACGAAGCCTGAAGATGGACATCAGCTCTGCGGAGCAGCAGGCACTGCACAACGGCCACGTGCCCCATGTCGGCGGCCAGAATCAACGCAGTGCACTTCGTGTCATTCTGCTTGTCGGGGTCGGCTCGCTCTTCCAGAAGGGCTTCTACGGTTGTGGCTCGGCCTCGCATAGGTAGCGAACGAACAGTCCCCGTATGTACCGCAAGTGCGCTCTACAACCTGCTTCGACTCCGAGACATGCCGCGCATGCCGTGGTCAGTGGTCATTGCATCCTTCTACTTGGTTGGGAGAGTAGGCGTAGAGGGTCATGTCAGCCAGGTGACTGCCGAAAAGCACGCAGAAAGGTATCCGCGTGTTTCTAAGTAGGATCCAGCCGTCCTCCCACGAGGGAAACACTGAGATGCATGCCTGCCAACGCAGCCGTCATCAGGGGCGTGAGATCATCCTGCAACTAAAAAATGTAAACGACTTCTTCCAGCAGGAGATATGAAGAGTGTGAGGGATCACGGCGGTGCAGTTTGTAGGCCCAGCGGCCCAGCCGCTTCACAGACTTCGAAACTATGCCTGCGGGTGAGAATTACTGGCAAAAGATTCCGCATGATTCTGCAAGCCCAATGGACCCAATAGGTTTGGCATGGTTTGCCCTTGGCAAACCATCATTGAAAAGGCAGAGAGCTGCGAACGTCATACAGTAGCAGACCGTGGTGAAGGGTTGGACCATTGAGTGTTTTGTCTTGTCTACCTATATCAGGAGACGAATCAAAGCTGGATCAGCACTGCTGCCTTGCTGCGCCGTTCGTGTCGTCATCTGAAAGACGCGCAAACTTGCCACGGCACTGTGTGTTCGTGCCAAGCCAATGGTCTCCAAATCCCACGCTGGAACCCAACAAAATGGACTGCAACACCAGACGACAGGGGTGCTAGACCGAGGCTACTGCAGCCGAGGGCATAGTGAGCTTAAGCTCCTCAGGCTTATCCCTGTCGCACTCCTCTCCGATGGCGTTGACGTTCGCACCCATCCGGATAAGCAGGCGGCCTTTCAAGTTGATCGCATTGGCCCTGACACTAAGCCACGTGCAAGGTGCTTTCCTTCGACTCTCAGGACCAAGCAGAGCTGGACCTCTCCTGCTTGAGCTGCACGGCAAAGCTCCCATATGCCGTCCTCAGCAACAAGCCACGGCTGCAAGCACAGACGCTCCTTCAGCAGCGACTGTACATGCTGCGAAAGTGGCGAAGACAAAGCAAGACGATGAGGCATCCATAGCTGTTGAGCTGGCAAGCCAAGGTTCAGTACCCGCAGCACATCTACGGCAAGCCTGGTCACAAAGGGCCATGCGAGCCACTTACTAGTGGCTCTTTGCACGTCGCTGTTGCCAGGAGAGAGGTGGCTGGAGCCTCGACCTCCCTGCAAATGGCAGATGCCAAAGCTCGCAATCGAAGTCTGCTTCCTGCACATCGTGGCTGAGACGTCTCTTGCCCTGCGGCCCTGCTCCAAGCTTCCGTCGTGCGAGGCGGCTCCTATCTGCAGGAAGCCAAAGCACAGCGGCAAAGGAGCCAAGTGCGCTTCCTCAGGAAATCGAGATCGATCCGAGCGATACCCCTTCAGCCTGTGGCCTCATGGATCTCATGGGACCGCTGACAGCTTCTTCTCTTCTCTGCGTGGGCTGCGAAGCGAGCTTACCACAAGGAAGCAATGTGTCTACCCCACGAGCAGCCGATAGCCTTGAAAGGTGTACTGGATGATTAGAATAGGGTTCCTTGAAATGGATCTACAATATAGGGCTCTATATTAGGGGCCTTTATAATTCGAATAGGGTTTTGTATGAACCGTGGCCTTAGGAATCACATGGAGACGGAGTGGAGACCGGTGGTTGGACGGACTACCACCTTCGGACATGAAGACATCTCAGCATCTGGAACTGGGAAGCGCTTTAAATCTGAGACGTGGACGGGCTCAATGCTTTTGCAGTCGATATCTCTGGTGTCAGTCATGTTTGGCAACAAAAGCAGAGGCAAGCAAACAGCGATTTTCAAAAACAGAAAAAAACACCATCAAGAATCCACAAGATACTAATCAGATGCAAAGCATGTCTGTCGACCGACCTGGCGATACGCTGCTGCGTCAAGTCTCCATCCTCAGAGAGGCTTGCAGCTGTCTTCGCCGAGCCGTGAGCAGCCGACACCTCTCCACAACGCAGAATTAAATGTAAACCAGGCGAGAAGTGGATATCTGCCAGGTCTGTGAAGCAGAAGCCGGATGTTTAATGGGCTACCTGCACAGGAAACAGCTGCCAGCTTTGCCGCTCCGCACCAGGAACCAGGCAGAGCCCAGGCGGAGCCGGCTGCAGGGCAAATTATTTTAAGCTCTCAAAAGTTCGCTGGAGCCACTACCCTGTTCGATCCTGCTGGCTGCAGCGCAAGGAAGCTACAAGCGCAAGACGGGGAATGCTCTCAACTGCAAGGGCTTAGAGAAACGCACGGAGCCCAGCCTGATCCAGGGTTGCCGATGCCTGAGAGCCGGTCAAGCGAAAAGACTACCCCCGGGAATTCAAGCCAAGGCCGCCACTGTCACTCTGCGCTGCTCTGCTGCGTTGGCTGCCTCCTCCCAGCCACGCAGTACTGTCCCCAAGCATTTCCAACAACAACCACCACCACCACCAACAACAACACCAACACCAACACCAATGCCACCGCACCGCCGCCACCACCGCCACCACTGCCACCACCACCACCACCAACAGCAACCACAGCAACCACAGCGACAGCGACAGCGACAGCGACAGCGACAGCGACAGCGACAGCGACAGCGACAGCGACAGCGACAACGACAACAACAACAACAACAAACAACAAACAACAAACAACAACAACAACAACAACAACAACAACAACAACAACAACAACAACAACAACAAAAACAACTCGAAAGTCTGCCTTGCATTGCTTCTCAATGAGGCTGCCGAGCCATGTTGAGTGATTTCCGAATTCTTGCCCGCCGTTGATTTCGCTCGCTTCTGAGACATTCCTGGTCGCTGATGTGCCTGAGGCATAAGGAGAAGCATAAAGAGCTTCGATCTTTCAGCCGTGCCCGACAAGAGCCTACCGGAAGACACAGGCCACCTCTCTCGTTGAGAAGTCGATGTTTCATGGGAAGGACAACTTGCCCCTCCCAAAACCTTTTCAAATCCTCCCATGTTGATGCCCCTGCTCCCCTTCTGTGCTTCAGAGCAGCTCCCTTTTTGGCCTACTTGGAGGTTCAATGGTAGTTATAAGTAAGGATATAAGTCCCCTAATATGGGTTGTAACTATAGTTACCTTACTTATAACCCGATTTATAACTACCCATGAACCTCCAAGTACCTAGCAGCATTGCAGCAAAGCCTGGGAGGAAAAGGCTTGGAACGCGGCTTACTTGCTCTGGAGAGTGTCACAGATACGAAGACGTCAGCACGAATTTCCCAAAAAAACATAGAGCACCCAGCAAAAGCAAAACATGTGGACTTGTTACTTGGAAAGTGTGACATGTCCACAAACTCCAGGTTCGAAGTGACTCGCGAGGCGTGCTCCAAGATCACAGAACTGCCGTCACCAAAAAACTTTTCTCAACATGCGCCTCGGTCTCTATCGAGTGTGCCATGGATAGCACACGGTACATTATCACTGCGAACTTCTTTACGCGATGCTTCGGCATCGCGCGCTTGTTCCTGTACACCGGTGAGCGCAGCATGGACTACAGACACACACACACACACAAGACTGGTAATCAGCACAGCTGCGGAGTAAGTCAGAAAGTGCTGCACGCGACACCTGGGCGACCCTCAAGACTGCAAGATACTGCAAGAACAACTATAAGGGCCCCTAGCATCATAGACATCGTCTCTCTGGTGCAGTTTTAGGACGGCAAGCCCGCTGAGGCGTCACGAGCACAAACAAACAGTTTCCGGGCAAGCAACCAGTACTTCGGAAATCGAATCTAACGTGCTCAAACTTTAGAGTCACCATACAGATGACATACGGAGTTGATGTGCCCGATGTGCTCCTCTTCATCAACTAGAATATTTGAGCCACTTTGCTCTTGCCACCATGTACAAAAAAAACGAACCACATGCTGAGCCACTGTCGAGCTCTCACTGTTCAAACTCCTCTCAGCCGTGAGTTAATTAGCCTCAGTCAGACGCATATCAAGTCATGTCCGTCACCTAGCTGCCCTGCCCCTGGCTGCTTGACTGCTGGGCACGCATGCGTAATTAAACAGTAGCAGCAAGCCAGGGCACGAAAAGTCAGCGGAAGCCACTTCATTGTCGTCGCGGGACGATTTCTAGCATGATCCGCGCAAATCCATCCTTGTCCTTGCAGGCGTTACAGGAGCGCATTCTTGTGCATTCGCGCGGTCTTGTCACAAGGTCAAACATGTCAGCATCTTGATCTACTTCAGAACTTCGGGGTGCAGTCCTGGCTTGCACTCAAGTTCCACGATTGTGGAGAGCCCGTTCTTGGGTCATGCAGTCTCGCCACGCAATTGTTGGCAAAGTCATGATGTCCGCTGTGGGTCTTTGAGCCGACGGTGACCCGAAAGGAAATCCAAAAACTAGCATTGGGATTCTGTACTTGCTGGCATTTGATTTCCATCTGCGATGCTTGACCTTTGCCCTGGATCTTCACATGGCGGAGGATGACCACGAACATGCTTTCGTCTGCGCTGGACGGTGTTCTGACCGGTATTTGACGAGAGACTATCTGCCGCTCTTTCGCGAGTCTACTCACAGCGATTCTCCATTCTGCAACGCAGAACTTGGCTGCTGAGAAAACTTGGAGCGGGCCAGGGACTTGGCCAATGGCCGCCACGAACTGTTGGGCAAGATGTTCTGCTGTGGGGCAGCGCGACATAGAACTCGATGCAGGATGGGATGTCTGAAACGAGTCTGGAGGCATTCGAATCTTTGTCGCCAAAGCCTTCACTTCGTCATTGGATCTTGAAAATGTAACTGCGGGAGGGTGCTTGATGCAACTTGACTGGGCTGATTGTGCCGTAGCGGCAGATGTGGCCTCCTGTTCTGTCCAGCCAATCTGCTTCTTTGCTTCGCCCAGCAGAGTGATCATTGTGAGCTGGGTAAGGTTCAGCTCATCTCTCTCGCAGTTCGAACCGCTCACGCCATCTTCAGCAAGAGGGGCACTGTAGGCACGTGGATTTGAGGGCTGCACATCCTCAAAGGGCAAAAGAACATGGGCCATGGCACAGAGGCCGGCTATCTGTTGCTTGGGACACGAGCGCACAAGAGTCCGTAGTGAACCCCGCATTTAAGCTGGCTACCACTGGGTAGTACCACAAGACCCAGTCAGCTGAAGCCTGGTTCTGGACTGCACATGCTTCTCGCGCCTCTACTGCCTGCAATTGCTGCGACTGCTTGGTGGCAAGATCTTCCAGTCGAGACCTAGTTTCAAACGTGCCAGAGTTTGGCCTACGGCGACTTGGTCATTTCTGCTGAGGCCACGACCGTGACCTACACTGAGATCGGAACACCTGTCCAGTGGCTCCAAATAAGTCACGTAGCTTGCGCTGCGATTGCAATAGCTCCCGATTTCATTTCATTGCAACATGGCCTCCGCCAGATGCTCTCCTCTGCCGCTGAGGTGTTCTTGGTGTAACTCCTCCAGCCGACACCTTCGGCTTTGAAAGTGAGGCAAAGAACGAGGGCGGCGGCTGTATGTATGTATGTATGTATGTATGTATGTATGTATGTATGTGTATGTATATGTATATGTATATGTATATGTATATGTATATGTATATGTATATGTATACCAGGACAATCCTTTAGATGTCCC